CTTAAAACATACTGACTGGGGGATTCTGGGAGTTGGAGTCCACCCATTTTAAAACTGTCAAGTTTGAAAAAAAAAACCCACTCTTTTGGCTGGATCACAGGATTAGATTTACTTTTATTCCCACTCGGTATTTCACAATGTACAAAGCCACACACTAATCTCAGATGTTGTGTGCTTACCTTACCTCAGATACATGCACACACTTCAGGAACTAAACCATACATTGGCTTCAGGAGATGACGAGAATTACCCAAAACTATGAAGAAAAGGACCTGAAAGCTTCTAAGAGACTAACTCACAAAATTCCCAGTTCTGTTTTAGCCTATTCCGGCATGTTGGTGCGCCAATGTAAAATGGTTCCTCACTGAGGACTAGATGCTTAAAATGCAAGAGATGGTTCGCATTCTGTCCCACACAGGCTGTAGAGAATGAGGTTGGGGCAGGACTGGGGTGGGGTGAGGCAGTTTGGAGCTTGGCCTTTCAGGAGAAAATTGGTGAATGTAGTCTTTTTTTTTTTTTTAATTTCTTCTCTCTTTCCTTTCCGGTGTGGACTTCAGTGTGGGAGCAACCCACTTCCGGGTTTGACGAAGCAGGAAGATTGCTGCGGCAGCATTGGCACCTCCTGGGGCCAAACCAAATGCCACAAATGCCCCCACCTGCAGTGTAAGCCTCCAGCCCTCCCCCCCTCTTTTCCTGGTGCCCTTCGGGGACCTGGCACCACCCAGCGATCCCCAGCACAGGTTGCCCAGGATTCTGTGGATGCATTCCTTGCCTGAAAAAAAAAAAAAAAAGGAAATTATCAAATCGAATTCTATTGAACTGAATACTTTATTTGGCCAAGTGTGATTAGACACTCAAGGAAGTTGTCTCCGTGTACAGATAGTCCTCCATTTATGACCACAATTGAGCGCAACATTTCTCTTGCGAAATGAGACAGTTGTTAAGTGAGTTTTGCCCCATTTTACGAACTTTCTTGCCACAATTGTTAAGTGAATCACCGCAGTTGTTAAGCTAGAAACACAGTCGTTAAATGAATCTGGCTTCAAATCATTCTAGGAAACAAATAAAACAATATAAATTGTAAAGATACAAGCAACATGGTTATAGTCATAAGTGGGAAGAGGTAGGTACTGGGAAGGATGAGAAGAAGAATAGTAGTGCAGACTTTGTAAATAGTTGGACAGTGTTGAGGGAATTATTTGTTTAGCAGAGTGATGGCATTCGGAAAAAAACCGTCCACATTGTGTCTAGTTGTTCTGGTGTGCAGTGCTCTATAGCGTCGTTTGGAGGGTAGGAGTTGAAAAAGTTTATGTCCAGGATGTGAGGGGTCTCTAGATAATTTCACAGCCCTCTTTTTGACTCGCGCAATATACAGGTCCTCCATGGAAGGCAGGTTGGTAGTAATTGTTTTTTCTGCAGTCCTAATTATCCTCTGAAGTCTGGGTCCGTCCTGCTGGGTTGCAGAACCAACCCAGGCAGTTACAGAGGTGCAGATGACAGACTCAATAATTCCTCTGTAGAACCGGATCAGCAGCTCCTTGGACAGTTTGAGCTTCCTGAGTTGGCGCAGAAAGCTAAAACTGCAGAAATAACATTAAATTTTTAATGTTATTATTATTATTTTTTTTGAAAATGTAGGCGTTGGAAGGGAAACAAGTAGAGGAATGTGGAAGTCTTATTAAATGCTTGCTGTGTGCTCTTTTTTTTCCAGATTCGGGTGTGCAAAAGACAATGGGGAGCGATTGTCCTCAAGGATACAAGCGACTCAACAGCACTCACTGTCAGGGTAAGGCTTTGCGATTGTGGTGTGTATGTTCCACATGTGTTTGTGTTTGGAATTTGAATGCCAGCGAACTGGAAAATAAAATCTGCTGTCATGGGCGCCCTTGAACCTGAGATTCTGCGTTTTCTTTTCTTTTTTGTATATTATTCTATTTTTATTCATAAACATTTGGAATACAGTGTATTGTCAGGGCATATCATTTACAGAAAAGCAAAGGAAGAACAAAAAGGAATATTAACATAAATGCTAATGACAATAGCAATAATGTAACATAATAGCTTTAAGTAGATTTCTCTTTATATTAGCTTGTTTATAGTTCTGTTGATTATTATCTATATATATATAAAAGCAAAATGCCACTCATGCATCATCACAAAGTCTCCAGAACCGTAAAGCCTACAAACTTGAAATTTGGAGGAGAGGAGTTTCAGTTTCAGAGCACCAAGCAGCTTTAGTACAGAGCGGTTGAGCTAAGCCACGCCCAGGCTCCTTGCTGTCTCCTTCTTGCTCACACAGCAAATACTCTTTCAGTTTCCAAACAGCCCTCAACTCTGTCACACGCTGACAGGGCTTTAGCCAGATGAATACTGATGGATGCTGGGAGGAAGAGGCAGAATTTTTTCCCCCTTATTTTCCTCCCCAAAAACTAAGCCCGACCACATACCCTGTTTCTCCAACAATATGGCCTCCCCCAATAGGAAGTCCCAGCATGTTTTATAGGCATGAAATGAAATTAAGCCCCTCCCCCCAAATTAAGGCCTATATTAAAACATGCGAAATGGGGGGGAAATGGTGGGGGGGGGGACTTGCCGTTAGGAAGTACTTTTGTTGCACACCCGGATATGGTGCTGCCTGCGTTGACCCCGATACGAAGTGCCCCACCAACGCTGAGGTCAACATCCAAGCCATCGCCGCCCACCCGCCCGAAGATGCAAGGGGGGGGGGAAATTAAGTCACCCCCCGAAAAGATGGCCTAGCCATTTTTTCGGGGCTCAAAAAAAAATAAGACCCAGCCTTATTATATGAGAAACACGGTAGTTTCGTAGCGAAGCAGAGGTATCGAACTAGTATTGGCATATTTATAATTATAAACCATCTTTATATTTAGTTCATATATAGCAATAATCATTCTTTCTCTAATTTTCTACCTCTTATCTCTAACCGCTTGTAAAGTCTGTTCCATGTTAAGTAGTATTCTGTATCTTCTTTGTCCTTTATTTTTAATGTCAATCTATCCATCTCTGCACAGTCTAATGTTTTCCGAATGACCTCTCACTTTCTACTGGGGTGTGGCACATGGGTCTGGAGGTGGCCTCTGCATAGGGGATGAGTAACCTCGGAGCAGTCTCAGAATCACTTCCTTCTATCTTCTGAATCGGGAGGATATTTGGAAATCGGAGGTTTTAGCAGAAGGAATTATGACAGGACGGAAGTTTGAATGCCAGGATCAGCCCTCTTCAATCCTGCTCCCCATCATACAAGCTCGAAGCTACAAGAGCTACAATGATTAATAGTTATTTTTGGCTTCCCCCCACCCCCCCACAGACATCAATGAGTGTGCCATGCAAGGCGTGTGCCAAGGAGGAGAGTGTTTGAACACCCAAGGAAGCTTCCGTTGCGCGTGTAAACCGGGGCAGGTTTTGGGACCTTCGCGCACCCACTGTGTGGGTATGTATCTCAAGAGGTTGGGGTGGCAGATATGGTTCTCCCTCTCTCTCCCCCTCCCTCCCTCCCTCTGTCCCCCTCCCTCTGTCCCCCTCCCTCCCTCACCTTCCCTCCCTCCCCTCCTCTCTCTCCCTCCCTCCCCTCCCTCTCTCTCTCCTTCCCCCTCCCACTCTCCCCCTCCCTCCCTCTCTCCATCCCTCCCCTCCTCTCTC